AACAGTCACAAGGCGAGGGCGACTTAGAGAAAGGGAATTATTCACTGCCTGACATGGATGAACTCGGTTTAATGCATGCATTTAGCAAACACTGCTCTCTCTGTTCGGAAATATTAGTCCACATTCCATTCATTTTGATAACCTTTTCCTTTTTAACCCCAACGCCACACTAACCAACGCAGCACCACCAGAATTCGGGGTGCAGGTGCTGCCTCTTGCCTAAGTTCATTCAGCACGCTATTACGCCAAAGCAGAGGGACTGGGAAATGCCATTCCAGAGTTGTTCAGGGGAGAGGAGGGGAGATTCACCAGACAGTGAAGTAATATTAGAAAGAAAGAGAAAGGCATGTTCCTTGAAGTCAAGGATTGGGTGATTACATGTTGGTGTCTGTGCCGCCCCCATCTCACCAGCACAGTCAATGAATAATGAGGGAGGGGAGGAAGGAAAATGAATGGGAACGTTACATGACTTAGGAATTCTGCCAACAAATTCAGTGTTTGTAAAAAACGAGAATACCATAAAGATCATGATTCCGCTAGAAATCCCTTGAGTTAGAAACAAAAACAATGGGGTGACTCATGTTGGGGGCTATGTGGGAACAGAAAAAACAGACTCAGAATTCAGTTGGATAAAAAGCTATACCAAGCAGAAGCAAAATGTAAGGAAAAATAGTTACCAGAGAGATTTTATCATATAAGTGAATGGTTCCTTAGAATTCTGGTTCTTAAAAAGTCATCTCCAAAGTAGGCTTGAAATACTGACCCGTTAGAGAGTGCTCTCTTGCCCACTTGGTTGCACGTTACACTGTGTGGCCGGGAGGCGTCTGGCCAGGGCAACCTCCCTGGTCCATAGCAAGTTTTCATACAAATGTTGGGGAGCAATCCCAGGGAAGCTTTCTTACAATAGCAAAGGTGGGGGGGGGGGGGGGACAGTCTGGGAGAGATTTGCCAGGCAAAGCTAACTCCCAAAAGCAGGCCAACTGGACTTCAAGGCATGAGCATGAGCGTGGAAAGAAGATGACAGCACAGTGATGACCAATTAAATCTCATGGAAGATGTGACAATTCTAAACTGTATTTCTTAAAAAAAAAAAAAATTAAAAAAATATATATATATAATTGTTTTTGTACAGCGAGGAAGGGAGAAGGATAGAGAGTTAGAAACATCGATGAGAGAGAAACATTGATCAGCTGCCTCCTGCACACCCCCCACTGGGGATATGCCTGCAACCAAGGTACATGCCCTTGACCAGAATTGAGCCGGGGACCCTTCAGTCTGCAGGCCAAGGCTTTATCCACTGAGCCAAACCGGCTAGTAAACTGTATTTCTTAATAAAATAACTTCCCAGTAGAAGAGCAAATGGACAGGAAATGGCAAACCCTCCACCGTTATCCTCATACAGTTAAATTACGGATCACTGGCCACTGCCATAATGGTGGGAGTGTCTTGTATTTATTAACTCACGGAGCGCTCCCACCAGCCTCTGCGCTGCATTCCCGCTGTACCGACAGGAAAGCAAGGCTCAAAGAGGTGACCTGTTTCCCTCAACAAAGGTTACAGCGAGCCGACCCCAAAATCCTTAATGGCGGGAAGATTTAGACGACATAATCAATAAGTCTGATCTGAAAGAAATATGTAGATGCTGCAACTACGAGCTGGAGAACATACAGTCTTTTCAATTCCTTAAAGAACACCTACAGCCGAAACCGGTTTGGCTCAGTGGATAGAGCATTGGCCTGTGGACTGAAAGGTCCCAGGTTCGATTCTGGTCAAGGGCATGTACCTTGGTTGCAGGCACATCCCCAGTGAGGGGGTGTGGAAGAGGCAGCTAACCTATGTTTCTCTTTCATTGATGTTTCTAACGCTCTATCCCTCTCTCTTCCTCTCTGTAAAAAAAATCAATTAAAAATATATTAAAAAAAAAAAAAAAAGAACACCTACAAAACAGACCATGCTAGGCCTCAACAACCATGAAAGACCCAAACTCGGGCTCAACAACCACAATGCCATTAAATTAGAAATCAATGACAACAACAAAAGATATGTTTAAATATGTCATACAACTGAAAAATTTCAAACATGCTTCCAAATAAATCATAAGAGAGATTAAAAATAAAAGAAATGAAAAAGATCAGGAAGTGAACAATAATAATAATACACATTAAATTTTGTGGGCTGCAGATAAATCAGTGCTTACATGAGAAAGTTACTCAAGTGCTTATAGTAGAAAAGAAGAAAAGTTGAAATGAGGTAAGCATCTGTAGAAAGGAAAATTTAAAGGGCAATAGATGAAATCCAAAGACATGGACAGAGCCCTCGCTGGCTTGGCTTAGTGGATAGGGCTTCGCCCTGTGGACCGAAGGGTCCCAGGTTCGATTCCTATGTGCCTCAGTTGCAGGCTCCTCCGCCCTGGTCGGGCTCATGCAGGAGAAACCAATTGATGTGTGTTTCTCTCACATCAATATTTCTCTCCGTCTTTCCCTCTCTCTTCTAATCTCTCTGAAAATCAATGGAAAAATATCCTCGGGTGGGGATTACAAAACAAACAAACAAAAAAAAACACACAAAGACCTTGAGGGGAAGGTTGAAGGAAAGGAAATGAAATAGAAAACAGAAGTAGAAATGAGAAGTTGCACCAAGTCAAATGTTGGTTCTTGGAAAATTGTAATAAAAATGATTTCGGAAAAATGACCCCAAAAAGCGGGATAGGGAGAATATGACTAAACAATATTATGAATAATCAATATATGCATCAAAAATTAAGGTGAGAGATTATGGCAACATTTAGCCAAGACATTTCAAAACTTAAGATGAAATGGAGATATTTCTAAAAAAAAAAACTTATTACCCCAGGATCAACCAAAGCAGCAGACATTAAAGGAATTGAATCAATAGTTAAAAACTTTCCCACGATACAGTATCACAGGACATTTAAGAACTGTTCATTTCACCTCACACATACTATTTCAGAATATAGAAAAATGAGTAACTTTACTGCAAAACTAATAAGGAAAGCAAACCAGAACAGACAAGAACCATTACAGACTAATCTCAATGACTACAGATGCAAAAATCTTGAGTGAAATAAAATAATGCACGGTGACCTAGTTGGAATTGTCCCAAGAATGCTAATTGGTTTGATATAAGAAAATTGATCCATGAAATCTATCCCATTAATGGGATGAAAGGAAGCAGAAAATGTATTTGGCGATATTCAATACCAAGTCAAGCTTAACAAAACCTCTTGGCAAAATAGGAAAAGAAGGGAAATCCCTTAACCTGATAAAGGTCATATTAAAATCATGCCAAATGGACAAACAGTTGAAGTCCTCTTTATAATCAAGCACAAGATAAGGCATCCACAATTACTGCTAATGGAGGTCAGAACCAGCAGAGCGAGATAAGAAACAAACAAAAGGCATAAGGATTGCAAAAGAAGGACTAAAACCGTCATCTATGCCGATGATAGGACTGTCTCTATAGAAAAGTCAAAATAGGAATGAAAAGAGTTTGGCAAGGCACTGGGCTCTAATATTAACATAGGAAAGTTATGTGCTCTACATTCCACGTGAAAAACATAATATTGAATAAGAACAAATAAAGTCAGAAGAGATTAAATGAGCCCTGGCCGGTGTGGCTCAGTTGGTTGAGCATTATTCCATAAGCCAAAAGGTCCCTGGTTCGATTCCCTGTCAGGGTCCCAACTTGGTACTGAATCCTCAAGCTGGGCATGTGCCCCGACCGGGAATCCAACCAGGGACCTTTTTTTTAAAATATTTTTTATTGATTTTATACAGAGAGGAAGGGAGAGAAATAGAGAGTTAGAAACATCGATGAGAGTCATTGATCAGCTGCCTCTTGCACACCCCCTACTGGGGATATGCCCGCAACCAAGGTACATGCCCTTGACCGGAATCGAACCCGGGTCCCTTCAGTCCCCAAGCCGACGCTCTATCCATTGAGCCAAACCGGTCCCTGCTAACCAGGGACCTTTTGGTACGTGGAATGACGCTCAACCAACTGAGCTACACCAGCCGGGTCAGGGTCAATCTATTGTAATTGAATACTATTTCTTATAGTTGCCTGTTTCATGAGAACTCACAACAAATGTATGGTAATGTAGAGTGACTGAGAATGGGTATTTTAACGTACTAGAGAATTCTAGAGGAAGGCATACTGACATACACCTTGGCATGAAGCAAGGAATCTGGCAGGAGGGGCAAATAACGAAATAACAAATGCACACTTTTCCAACTCCTCTCGCCTGCCACGGGCCTGGCAGAAACGGCTGGTGAAAGAAACCTCGGAAAAGGCAGGCTTTTCCCAGGGTAGGCAGCCGCTGTGGCCGCCAGCACCACCCCGGGCAGCGCAGCGAGGAATGAGGACTGTTATTTAACAGCCTGCTTCTGTGTACACCCTCCTGAGGACGGTCACAAAAGAACACTGCGCTTCGAGGGAGCACACGAAAGAAGACCCAGCACACGCTCTCGGACACTCCACGTGGCCGACGCCAGTGCATTGGGAGGAGCTGAGGACGTGCACTGCATGCAGAGGGCGTGCACTCGGGCGTCTGCTGCAGCCTGCTAGCCCCCGGGTGACTCACTCAGGAGCGAGGCCGGGGCGGGAGCCTCTTATCTGTCTGACGGAAGCACCAGACACAGCCCAGCTCTGGCTGCACATCCGCTGTGGGTTTCGAGAGGCGGCTTTTCTGTGAAAAGCCATTAGTGAAGCCACAAGCTCCAGACACCGAGCCCCAGGCCGGGCCTGGTCTGCCTCCTGTTATCACCCCGGAGCCTGAACAAACAGCAAACTGCCCAGCGCCCCCGGGCCCCAGGTTTCAGTCTCAGGTCCCCCAGGCGCTGACACAAATGGAAAACCATCCCACGTGGAGTGGCCTTTGTGGCCCCATCAGAAAGGAGAACTTGGGGACCCGCCTCCTGGGAGGGTGCGTGACAGACACTGAAAAGGGGAAGCGAGAGGCGGGCCCACTTTCACCTTACCTTTTCGACATCCGCTTTCGTGACGTTTATGTCCGCGTCCATCTTCTCAAAGTACTGCTGGGCCCGGTCGGCCTCCTTGCAGTCCCGCTCGAATCGCCGCTTGCTCTGGAAGGAGAGGGACGGAGGGGGAGAGGGGAGAGAGGAGCGGTGACTAACGGGACCAGGAGCGCCCCCTGAGCACTGGCTTTTACCCTCACCCCCAAAGAGCATTCTCCTCCTGTCGGATGGCTGTGTCATAACTCAGGACGCTATTTTATTTATTTAAACAATTCTTCATTGTTGAAAGTATTACATATGTCCTCTTTTATTCCCACTCCACCCCCTGCGCCAGCCTTTCCCTCCCTCTGTCTGTCTCAGGACGCCGTTTTAAAATCTGCATTTACGTTCACCCCAACTGCCTAATCTGCGTTCTTCACACGCGGTTTTTAGAAAAACACTCTCCTGGAGCACTTTGAGCTCAATGTTTTCCTTTAGATAAAGGTTTCTAGAAACACTCTCCACTCAGATTAGAAAAATCTCCCGAGGCATTCTCTTTGGTGTTTTCGATGGTTTTGAACAGTCTGACCCATTCCAGCTGAAATCCAGTTAGAAAACTGGCCCAGACCCCTCCGGGGGCGGCCGGCCCCTCACTCACCGACTCCAGCTGCTTCCAGCAGGTCTCTATGTGCTGCTGGGCCTTCCGTCCATCGTGGAAATGCTGGAAGTGAGAAACAGCGGGGTCAGGCACCCTCTTGCGCACAGTAACACGAGAGAAAAAGTCCACCCGCTAAAAGAATACTTAAATTTTAAAATATATATATTTTATTGATTTTTTACAGAGAGGAAGGGAGAGGGATAGAGAGTTGGGAACATCAATGAGAGAGAAGCATCGATCAGCTGCCTCCTGCACACCCCTTACTGGGGATGTGCCTGCAACCAAGGTACATGCCCTTGACCGGAACTGAACCTGGGACCTTTCAGTCCGCAGGCAGATGCTCTGTCCACTGAGCCAAACCGGTTAGGGCAGAATGCTTAAATATTGAACACCAGCATATGTGCACCCAAGAAATTAAGCGTTAAAAAAGACAGGGAAATGAAAACAAGAATAGCCAAGAGTAGCCTTTGAAACTTTAGATGTAATAACTGAATTCTCTAAGACGCCACTTGTAAAAGTGACAGGGACGTTTTAAGACAAAAGTCACTTCGATCTTTATTTTTAATTGCTTTGAGATATAACTCACACACCACACAATTCACCCGTGCAAATTTACAAGTCAATGGTTTTTACTATTATAGAATCACACAATTATGCAATCTTCACGATAATCGATTTGAGAACCTTTTTGTCACCCCAAAAAAGAAACCATGACCTCTTAGCTGTCTCCCTCCTGCCCAGATCCTCCCCAGCCCTGGGCAACCAACCACTCAGCTTTCTGTCTTATCGATACGCTGTTTCTAGAAGTTTCATAGAAATGAAAACTCCAACGTTATCTTTCGTGGCTGGCCTAAGGCTCTCATCACTTCATAGTGTTCACTGAACAGATGATCTTTTCCAGGTTCGTCCATGTGTCACAAATGTCCTTTTTATCACTAGGCGACATCCCACTGCGTGGATCTATGCCACCACTAGTGTATCCGTTCACCAGCCGCTGGCTTTGGGTTGTCCCGCGTGGGGCTGCTATGAGTAACGCTGCTACAAGTATTTGTATTATTGTTTTGTGCAGGCAGACGCTTCCATTCCTTAGGTCTTTTTAAATTTAAGGTGGATTTCCCTCCTGCAGTCTGCAGAGGCCCTGGGCCGGTATGTGCCTGCCGCTGACACCAGAGGGCTAGAGCAGAGCGGGCCTCACAAACATGAGGAGCCAGGGGCCAGAGAAGAGGGGGCAGGCTGGGGGCGTCTGGACCAGGGGTGCCGGAGAGGTGGTGGCAGAGGGTCAGGTGCTGGGCCCTTTCATCAGGAAAGCCGCCGGGATGTGCGGTTGCTGCGGACCAGGTGTGGGCACTGCCATGCTCAGGTGTCAGGGTGACTCCGAGGTTGACCTGACCTGCCTGGACATGTGAGCAGGCTCCTCACCCTCCGGTTCTGGTGGGGTTGCCATGGAGAGGTTCCGGCCTATCAGAACCTCCCCCAGCGAAGATGCTCTCGGCCGGCTGGGTCCCCCGACCAAGGCCGCAGCCCTGGCCAGGCAGCTGCCCGGCGCTAACCTGTTTCCTGGGGCGGCCCGGGGGCTCAGCATCCCGCTGGGCCCCCTCCGCAGCGCCCCCTCCGCAGCGCCCCCTCCGCAGCGCCCCCTCCGCAGGGCCCTCCGCGCTCCCATTAACCCAGGAGCTCTCTCTGGCTGCGCTAGCAGTGCCGCCTGCTTCCTGGCGGACAGGTAAGCGGGGAGGGCGCCGTGGGGAAGGCAGGTGAGGAGGCCGGCAGCCCCGAGGCCCTCGGCACGGCCTGGTCCCACCTGACCAGTCAGGTCCCAGGGCTCAGCTGAGTCACAGGAGGCCGCTGACCTGGCGGTTGACCTGGCCGCTGGGAGGCCGGGAGGCGGGGAGGCTGGGAGGCCGGGCGCACGGGGAGAGCAGGTTCTCCGGGAAAAGACTGCGCTTCTTGGCAGGGGAATGCTCCTCGCTCCGGTGCGCTCACATTTCAGGCTGTGAGCGCCACTCTCTACAGCCAGCTGCCTCCAGCAGCCACCTTTTAGTGTCTCTGAACCCAGACAGGCCCCGGGCTTCCTTTGTCCCGCCTCATCGCAGACACGGGGATGCCACCGAAAAGAGAGCGAGTCCGAGGCAGCAGCGAACCCGCAGGACAGGGCCACGGCTGTGGGGAAGTAAGCAGAGCCAGGCAGAGCCGGGAAGCCTTGAACTTCGGAGGAAGTACAAAGTGGAAGCCGGTCTCTGGAGCCACAAAGGTCCCTTAGAACGAGACGGGAGGGAAGCGGTGGTGAGGCGCGCTCAGGGGACAGAGATGTGGGCAGACGGGGAGGCAGAGGGCCAGGCCGGGGACGGCCCAGGACAGACGGGCTCACTGTGCCCTGCCAGCCCGAGGCCCGTCCGTTCAGAAACGCAACTTTCCCGAACTGCCCGAGGATCGTCCCATTCGGACAGCGGGGACCACCGTGCTTTGTGATTTTCAGAAAAGGCTCCCCATCTCTCCCAATTTCACTTTGAGATTCAAAGAGGGACCCATAAAGAGGGAGACACTGGAGCCCCACGTCCTGAGCCGAGCTCCAGGCTGGTGCCCGCTCCCGAGTGGACAGGACACACGCACGGGGGGCGCAGGAAGCGGCAGGCCCAGCACAGCGTCTTCCCCGGAGACACAGGCCTCACACACGGGCACACGGGGGCAGGAGGGATGGCTCCGGCTGAATCCCCACCCGCGAAACCCTCCCGCCAGCCTTCACTGGCTGCTTTAGGATAAATATGAGTTTATGTTTCAGGCACGGTGTGGCCCTGCCTGCTGGGAGCTTCCTCCGAGGCCTCCTGAGCCACAGCTGTCAGCCTAAAGCAGGGACCCCAACCCACACGCGTGATCCCAGGGCTTCACGGGATGTGAGAAAAAGCCCAGGTGCCTGTGACCTCTTCTGAATCGCTCTTTATAGCGTGTGCCCCTCCAAAACGTATGTGGCTGCCTGGCTGGTGTGGCTCAGTGGTTGAGCTTCGACCTATGAACCAAGAGGTCAAGTTCCAATTCTTGGGCAGGGCAACTGTGCCTGGGTTTCGGGCTCCATCCCCACTGTGGGGTGTGCAGGAGGCAGCCCGTCAGTGATTCCCTGCTTTGAAGCTTCTATCTCTCCCTCCTTCTCCCCTTTCCTCTCTGAAATCAATAAAAATATATTAAAAAAAATAAAAACTTATGTGGCTCACACACACACACACACACACACACACACACACCCCACACACACCACACACACCCCCACACACACACCCCACACACATACACACACTCACACACCACACACACACACACACACACGTACCACACATATACACACACCACACATACCACACTCTCACACACACTCACCACACACACACACACCACATACACACACACACTCACCACATATACACACACCACATACACACACACACTCACCCCACATACACACACACACTCACCACACACACACACACCACATACACACACACACTCACCACATATACACACACCACACATACCACACTCTCACACACACTCACCACACACACACACACCACACACACACACACACACACACGCACGCACGCACACCACACGCACGCACGCACACACCACGCACGCACACACACACACACATACTCATGCACACACATACACACACACCACACACACCCACACACACACACACCCCCCACACACACACACACACACACACGCACACACACACACACACACCACACACACACACACACACACCCCACACACATACTCATGCACACACATACACACACTCACACACCACACTCTCACACACACTCACCACACACACACACCACACACACACACACACACACACCACACACACACGCACACACACACCACACACACACACACACACACACCACACGCACGCACACAGCCCCTGCTGCCTGATCGCATAGGAGCCGGCCGATGGAACCAAAGCCCTCCCGGGCCGCGCGGGCCTGACCCAGCCAGCGGCGGTGTTCGACGGCCGCGAGCTGAGCTCACCAGCTCGCCAGATGTGCCTGCTGCTCCCTGGCAGCCACGCACACACACCTCTCCTGGACAGGGGGCGGTGTGCGGAGAAGCTGCCCCGAGGCCGCACAGAGCGGGATTGTTCTCGGGAGATAACAGGCCCTCCCGCTGCCCGCCCGCCCGGTGAGGTCATCGCCGCTCTCCTCCCCGGACAGACAGGAAATGCCAGCTCCCCGGCCCGGCCCGCGGGAGGCCCCGGCTTTCTCCCGGGTGAGATGCTTTCCTCTCTCTCCACACACAGTAAGACTTTCAAACATGCCTGATGGCCTCTGGGGCAGCGAGGCTCACTTTCGTGTCCAGGCTTGGGGTGATCCTTAAACATACAAGTACATCCATCCTTCCAGGCGGTTTTAGAAATTTCCCAGTGACCAGGGGTAGCTGAGATTAAAAAAAAATCACAGGGAAGCTAACCTGAGCATACATTAACCTAAAGAAAATCACAGCGACACGGCTCGCAGAGTGCGGCTCTGTGAGAAACCGGTGAGGCTGAACCCAGTGTGAGCGTGTTTATTGTCCTCACTCCACAATTAGGAACAACAGCTGTTTACTTTTACTCTATAAATACAATAGTTCATTAACTTCCAGAACTCCTGAATAAAGCAAAGTATGGCATTGATGTGGGAACAGCCACTCAAAAAGCAAACAAACAAACAAAAAACTGGGAGGGAGAAAAAAAGAATAAACATTCAATGAGGACCGTCAGCCATCTGGAATTTTAAATAAAACTCAGATTCCGCAGAGGAAAACAAAGGAACACAAAGACTTGAAAAGGGCAGAGAAGAGAGGAGCATCCAGAAAACATGTCTGTGACAAATATTATAACTTCCTCCAAACCCACAGCGCGGCGGGTCCAAACACTGGCCCTCTCAGCTGCCCGGGGTAATGCATGCGCCGCTAAGCTCCGTGGGCAGAGAGGTGTGTACTGGGCAGGAAAACTCTGAGCCATCTTCAGACCAGCTCAAAGGAGCGTTTCACCCTCATTTAAGTCCAAAGCCATAAACCCAGAACGAACGTGACAGGAGTCGCATTCTGCTTTGATTTAAGGCTTATTTTCCCCAAATTCATTTGTAATAAAAATACCTTCTCAGCAAACTTGTTTAAAGTTCCTAAAAGCCTCCTTCCCACCGCCATGCTCCGTGGCTTCACTTCACCAAACACTGACCACCTGGGCCGGGGGAGGGGACCCCGAGGAGCCCAGGCCAGGCCCAGGCCCAGCAGCACGGGCCTCCAGTGTCCACGCTCCCGAGCAGAAACGCGTGGCCCAGACATCAGCCGGGGAAGAGCCTAAACGCTATGCTTTTATGGTGGCAAGTCAAGATTGTCTTTTTAAGAATTTACCTTTGAAAACTCAACGTGTTTTCCCAAAGACCAGCCTACAGATCGGTGTGTCAGGGCCAACACTGGTTATTCATACCGCTGTGTGAGGGAGCGGCTCTGTGTGTGAGAATGAATACAGCGCAGGTGGAAACGCTGCGGAAAAACACATCTTTTCTCCTGGAAGCATGAGTAGCTAGTACTCTCCCATTGTGAAGATGTGAAAGCTCAGACATCAAACAGCTGACTCACTGTCACGCTAGGGCCACAAAGGCAAAGAGAATGTCCATCTCCCCCACCACCTGCCTTCTCCTGCCTCGCACGCCTCCACAGCAAGGGGAGGAGCCGTGTCACCATGCAGGCTCTTGTTAGGGATTCATCTATTTCAACCAGCAAAACCGAGATGAAAAATAACTCTCCACTAGGATTCTGGATTGAGCTTGGAAATACTCTAGGCTGCAAATTTGAAATCTCCCCTTTGAGCAGACAGGATTTCAGCCACTGTATCAAATGGCCCAAAGGGTATTACACTGCACTGGCTGGTTTGACTCAGTGAGGACTGGAGGGTCCCACGTTCGATTCCGGCCAAAGGCACGTGCCTGGGTTGTGGGCTCGATCCCCAATGGAGGGCGTGCAGGAGGCAGCTGATCAATGATTCTCTCTCACCAGTGATGTTTCTATCTCTCTCTTTCTCTCCTTTCCTCTCTGAAATCAATAAAAAATAATATATATATATATATATATATATATATATATATATATATTTTTTTTTTTTTTTTTTTTTTTAATTTTTTACAAAAGGTATTACACTGAGTATTAAGAATGGTACTTCAGCCGAAACCGGTTTGGCTCAGTGGTAGAGTGTAGGTCTGCAGACTGAAGGGTCCCGGGTTCGATTCCGGTCAGGGGCATGTACATTGGTTGCGGGCACATCCCAGATAGAGGGTGTGCAAGAGGCAGCTGGTCGATGTTTCTCTCTCATCGACGTTTCTAGCTCTCTATCTCTCTGCCTTCCTCTCTGAAAAATCAATAAAACATTAAAAAAAAAAAAAAAAAAAAAAAGCGTGTCACTGGCCAACTCTGTACTTTATTGCTAACAAATTATTTTGCACCTAGTAAGCAATCAAAGCTCAATGATATAGATCATGGCTTAAAAATAGATCTTAGGGCAAACATCGACTATGAATATACTGAGCATACATTTTTCTCTCCTGTTTACAATAAAGCCATGAGAAGATTTTAATGGTGTCCAGAGAAGCAAAAAGGTCCTCCTCATTAGATAGCAACGGGTGAGCCAAGACATCAAGTGGGTGGAACTGAGGTCATCTTTCTTGCTTGTTAAAAGTCCTTGTAAGCATTTATTTAAAAAAAAAAATTATTGATTTTTTTTTTACGGAGAGGAAGAGAGAGAGGGATAGAGAGCTAGAAACATCGATGAGAGAGAAACATTGACCGGCTGTCTCCTGCATCCCCCCCCCCGCCCCCCCCCCCTGCCCCACCGGGGATGTGCCCGAAACCAATGTACCCTTGACCGGGTATATGCCCTTGACCAGAATCGAATCTGGGACCCTTCAGACCACAGACTGACACTCTATCCACCAAGCCAAACCGGTTTCGGCAGCATTTATTTTAATATACTGCTTATTCCACCCAGCACACCCATAATATACTGCTTATCCTCAAATATATTTAAATTCCTCAAAGGAATTAGTATTCTGGGGCCCACAGACGTGCTTCAGAGGGGGCCCTAAAATTGTAAAGACCTGGGACAAGGCCCATAACTTGTATACGATTCTCACAGGTACCAGGGTAAGTCCCGCCATCTCTGATTCTGTGTAATTTTAAGGTTTCTAGGGATGTTCCCCTTATCTTCGGCCCACGTCTTTGAGAGGCAAAAACAGATTTCGTACCGATTTTCTTTCCTGCTTCAGCTCCTGGACATAGCGCGCCAAGCCCGCGAGGATCTGCGAGGCCAGGTTCTCGGAGACCACCTCGTGCTGCCCCGCGTAGTCGTTCATCTCGTTCAGGGTGGAGAGGAAGGCTCTGCACGCCGTGTACCTGGGGGACAGAGCACACGCCGCCGTTCTCAGCCGCGGCCACACCCGCGCTCCCGCTGCTCCACGCCGGAGAAACAGTCATTAAAACCAACCTCCCACAGGACCCTGACAGTTCATTACACGTAAGAGTGTTTCCATCGAAACGGCTCGGAATTAATTACCACAGAAACCCTTTTCGTTTTGTGGAAACTGAACCGCTCTCTGCAGGGCAGTAACTGGCTTTGCTAATACTTAGTGCAAACAGAACCCAAGACACATGTGCACGCTGTGTGTGCATGAACCTAACGGATCTTTAGCCCCAAGTTAGAGACGGAATACCTTGGGACTGCCCATGTTAAAATGCCTTAGTCGCTGGCTGACATGGACATGTTTCTTGGATGAACTAGGCTGAATGAGACTCTTGATGTTACAAAGCCAAATCAAGATTGTAGAGCAAGCATGTCAAACTCAAAGGCTAACACGGCCCGAATAAACAAGGTGTAAGTGTATGTGGGCCGCAAAAAAACCAAAAGCTCCCGTTTTCATAGAAATGTAGGTTTATTTTGATAGAGACATGCTGAATACAAAGGGTTAAAATAAATGAGTCATCGTTAACATAAACTAATAGAACATTTTAATAAAAATTAATATTTCTTGAACATTAACTTACCAGACACTGGATAACTGCACAAATTAGTAAGCGTAAAGCAAATAAATCTATTTTTTTTGTTCTCTGAAAGTGAAATATTTCCTGTTGTGCACACCCAACAAGTCAGTGCAAGACTAATAATGTGGCCATCAGCTGCTACAATATTCGCTGCTGGTATTAGTGGAGAGAAATGGTGCACCTGTGTGTAAGGCATGCAAGGGAGATGAATGCAGCATGATTATAGTAACCAGTCATTAGCTGTAGTCATTAATAACGTTGTAGTTCTTTATTAATAATTATGTACAGCTGAAACCGGTTTGGCTCAGTGGTAGAGCGTCGGTCTGCGGACTGAAGGGTCCTGGGTTCGATTCCGGTCAAGGGCATGTACCTTGGTTGCAGACACATCCCCGGTGGGGGGTGTGCAGGAGGCAGCTGGTCGATGTTACTCTCTCATCGATGTTTCTGGCTCTCTGTCTCTCTCCCTTCCTCTCTGTAAAAAATCGATAAAATATATCTAAAAAAAATAATTATGTACTGTAAAAATTAAGTTACGAAATTTTTACTAAAACATTTCTGACATATTGTGATATTGGTCGGGTCACAAAAATGTTCGTTGTGGGCCGAATGTGGCCCGCGGGCCGAGAGTTTGACATGCTTGCTGTGGAACGCACAATCCATCCTCCCTGCACCTGCTTGGATTCCGTCCTGAGCTTTTCCTAATTACCCTAACTGAAACCATCTGCACAAGCTCTCGTGCCTCAGCACAAGAAAAGCTCCTTGAGGAGGTTTTTGGCTTTCTCTCCCCCAATGTAAAAACGAACATAAATGCGAGAAGAGAATGAACTCATTTGTGGAGGTCTCCATCTCTCCCCTCCTTCACCACCTCCCCCAGGGGCATGGAGAGGGCCACATCATTGTCACGTGAACACACCTGTATTCTTCTTCCTCCTTCGAGTTCTTTTTGGGCTGGTATTTCTTCGAGAGGTTCCTAAGACAGAAAAGCGACACGTCACCTTACACAGGGCGAAGCGAGAAGTCAGGGGTGACGGATGACATCAGTGTTCTTTTTTTAAGTTTTTGTGTTTTAAAGTTTAAAAAAATAATCACAAAACTCCCACGGCCGGAATCCACGAATTTCCTTCCACTCCCACCACGTGCGAAGGAGAAACTCCTATGATGGACTGCACAGCCGAGTCTTGGCTCACAGGTGGAGCCGTGGACAGCCTGCTTGACTCCACTGGAGGGCACAGGCCACTTCGACACTCAAACCCTATTGAAAATTCTTTCAAAACTTTAAAGATGTGTGTTTTGTTTTTTAAAAATATTTTTCTATTGATTTCGGAGAGGAAGGGAAAGGGAGAGAGAGATGGACACATCAATGATGACAGAGATTCGTTGATCGGCTGCCTTCTGCACGCCCCACACGGGGGATGGAGCCGGCAACCCGGGGATGTGCCCTGAGGGGGAATCGAACCCTGACCTCCCAGGTCATAGATCAACGCTCAACCACTGAGCCACCACAGCTGGGCTCAGGCGTTTTCTTTTTAATCCTCACTTTCTTTTTAGCTTCCAGTCTTGGCAGCCATACAAGTAATTCTTACATCCAGCTGAAGGTAACATAACTTGAACAAACCCAGGTGAAACAGCTTTCTTTATTCCCATCAAACAGTCAAACCTTACACAGGACCGGAGACCGTGGCGGGTGACACGCTGAGGACCATCAGGGTCGGGTGCCTGCGTGCCGCTGACCACGTTAGCATCTAAGCATCCAAATGCTTCCTAAGAGCATCGCTGAATAATTCACCCAGAAAGGCCAGCCGAAGACTGAAAGCTTCAGAGGCCTAGAGGTGAACTCCAGGTCTGAAGAATGTCTCTCAGAAAAAAAGGTCAACTTCCATTTCCATTCTCTGAGACAGGCTTATTTGGATGAGGTTATTTTGAAAAAAAGAAAAAAAGAAAAACACAAGCAAGCCAACAAACCACAAAAGGCATCTTTAAATTTATGGATCTTCCTGAAAAATCATAAGCGTTTTATATACTTAACTTGCTCTGCAGAGAGACTAATTAAAAGGTAAGAGAGAAATATACGACCTTTAACAAGGGCATTGCATTAAACATGGCTGATCGTAAGAGCCGCAGAGAAAGGCTTTTAAAAAGGAGACATTGGGCCCGAGCCCAGACCCTCTGAAATGGAAGGGCCAGGGTTGGGTCCAGGAATGTTTTGTTTTGTTTTATTTTCTCTCTCTCTTTGATTTTTTTAAAAGCTCCCACAAGATTTCTGGAAAAAAGATGGCAGAAGAAACTTCGATCAGAGAACTGCGCGTTCCCAACAACAAGAGGTGAAGATGAACAGCCAGGAATATGGTCAACAGCAGCAGATAAAGCGGTAAGGAACGGTGCGCAACCGCAGTCTGCACACTTTGGACAGTGGGGGCTGGGTGGGGACAGAGATTCTGGGGCAGCACAGAATGGACACCGGCTGACCCTCCCTGCCATGGGACCCCGAATGCTGACAGGAACAGAAGTGAACGGAGGGCGTAGTAAGCACCTGGGGACAATGATAGGACAGTCAGGCCGGCCAGGGCGAGATCACCCCAAACTAGGGTTCCAAGGAAGAGGACACACCTCTGACCTCATAGAGTAAACCCCCAAACGAACCTCTAACCAGGCCCTCGCCGCCTCTTGCCCTGTGCGGAGCTCAGGGGGAGAGACCGAAGGCACTAAGCAGGAGCGGGGTCTTCACGGACCTCTCGGCTCGGGAGCCCCGGTGATGCTTCCGCTGATGACACAGCCTAGCCGTGTACATGCTCAACCAGTAAGTCCCCCAACAACTTTGTAAGGAGGGAATTAGTATTATTTCTTTTTAAAAAAATATATTTTATTGATTTTTCACAGAGAGGAAGGGAGAGGGATAGAGAGCTAGAAACACCGATGAGAGAGAAACATCGACCGGCTGCTTCCTGCACACCCTCTACCGGGGATGTGCCCACAACCAATGTACATGCCCTTGACAGGAATCAAAACTGGGACCCTTCAGTCTGCAGACGGATGCTCTATCCACTGAGCCAAACCGGTTTCGGCAGGATTATTTCTGATAGATCTCCCTTCCTCCAACGGATGGAAGGAGAATGACGTAAACTCCACCTGCAGCACAGACATTCCTGAGCACCTAACCAGGCACCTTATGTGGACTGTACACTGAACCACCAATCAGCACCTGCCAAACACCCTAAGCCCCTGAGTCCTAAGTCCCCAGGTCCCTAATCACGTGCCTTACATGAACCACCGATCAGCCTGTGCCGAGTGCCCTCAACTCCGTCCCTTCCTTTTCCTCCGCTCAAAGGCGTGTTCACCCCGCACATGTGCTCTCCTTGGAAGGCAGCCCAGCAGGGTCTTCTCTCCGATAAAGCCTGTGTCCCGGCATCCCGGTCTCCGGCCCCTGTCTCATCTCTCCATGTCCATTTCACAGGTGAAAAGATAACACAGAGAGCATTTTACCCCAAATCAATGACAGGACCAAGTCATTGGGACTCCAGTCTGTCCTCAGAACCAGTCCTCCTAAACCGCCCATGCTAACGGTAAGCCAGCTAGGAGATACAATCTGCAATGGAAGATACAATCTGTAACTCAGAAGAAAAGGGAAGGGGCGGGGGGGGGGACGAAGTGGATAACAGAGAAAAACTCAACCTGGAAGAAAACATCCTAGAAAAAGACCCTACCCCACACCCCTCCAGAATAGCTTCCACGGCAGATAAACTTCATAAAAACACAAAGCCGGCAGAGTAAAAGTCCTCAGATCGTAGGATAAAACAGAGTCAGATAAGAGGGGAGACTGCAAAGCAAAAAAAGGAACTAAAAACGAAAACACTCGATTAGAGAACTAATATAAACCAGGCTGGCTATCCAATTCCACAGGGGAGAGGTTAGAGAGAATCCCCAGGTGAAAAACAGCTAACAGCGTGAGGGAGGGGAAAAAAAGACCAGGCACAGAACAAGAGGACGAGGACATAAGGAAAACTCCTGTCTCTGAAGCACCTAACCCATAAGTAGAATAGAAAACAAGAGTCAGATCCAACCAAAGGAAGTTCCCCCAAAACAATGGAGAACTGAATCGCATACAAAAGGGCCCAAAACGCTGACAGAAGGGCCCACGCAAGGCAAGCCTGGTAAAGCCATCACAATGCTGAGGGACAAAAAAAAAAAAAAAAGATAAGGTGACCAGTCCCTATTTTTAACAATTTGTCCCACTCTATCCACTGAGCCAAACCGGTCAGAAGATCGGGACTTTTTAAAAACGCTGTGGGACGCGGGACAAATTGCTAGGAATTGGGACTGTCCCGCCAAAAGCGGGACGTCTGGTCACCGTACTCAAAGAGCGAGTCACCCACAGAGACAAGAAGCTGGCTGGCCCCTCATGTCGCCACCAAACACAGCTGCAACCACGTGTGGAGAGAGGGAAGTGGGACAGAGAGCAGCCAGGCTATGGTTGTCAAGGATAGAGGCGCTCCTGGCACAGGGAGAACTCCGGGATTGTGCCCCTGGCTCTTTCTTAGGGGGACCCAGCCCTATCTGCTTGATTCCAGCAAGGGGAGGAGAGCTATGGCAGAAGCCATGGTGGCGAGCACGAATCTGTTTTTAAATAGAGAATGAAGATAAATTAGCTGTGGAAATCATGTTACAGACCAAATTACATAATTTGATTAGAAGAGGAAGCGAAACATGTAAATACATTTTTTTCCTCTCCTTCCTTGCAGTGAGTCAACGGAGCCTGTTCAAAATGACAACGTGGAGCTTTATGAAAGCAAGCAGTAAGGACCCTCGGCAAGTTCCCATAATCTTCTTGCTAAATCTTGTGAGTCTGTTTAATCAAGTTCAGCAAACCCTTCAGTTTCACTTTAGTGTCTTTTCTGCAGTTAAAGTAAATTTAAATGTAACACCTTGTGTATACAAGATGCAACAGTTTATCAAATGGTTTCTACATAGTTGCCCTTTATTTACAATGAGCTATAAAAAAAAAAACATTTAAAAAACAACAACGAAAAACAAACGAACATTGACCAGAACATGAGTGGCTCATCAAGAAGAAAGTAGAAATGGCTCAACTCTATAAAAACATGCTCGACCACACTCATACGAAGAGAAACACACATGAACGCTCAGACTTCCCAATTTTTCCGTTTCAAGCTGGCCCTGGTGACGGGAAGCAGCGAGGGCCAAGAGAATAGCGCTGTCACGGAGAGGAGAGTGCTAATGGTCACGCCTCTGAGGGGGGCACTTGGCAAATTCTACCAACCCGAGTATTGCTTTTAGGAATTTATCCTCTCGATTTGCTTGGCCAAGTGTATTCTTTAAGGTTATTCATTGCAACTATGTTCAGAGTTGCAAACAACTGGAAACAATCAACACATCCACCAATCCAACACAACCCTGGAAAGCTGCAAAAAATCAAAATGAGCCTCAGAACAATCCCCCGGGCACAGGAAGGCCAGGGCACACCGAGCCGCTGTGCGTGCGTGCGTGCGTGCATGTGTGTGTGTGTGTGTGTGTGTGTGTGTGTGCACGTGTAATATCTCTCTGGAAGGACACTTAAGACACTGATAGCATTTATTGTCCCCGGGGAGGGGGTAACACACGGGACACTTCACTGCACACCATTCTGTACCTCTGGCCTTTCCAGATTTTTAATCATATGCATTCATTATCAGGTCATAACAAAAGAACTTAGTTTGTGTGTGTGTGTGTGTGTGTGTGTGTGTGTGTGTGTGTTTTGTAAAGAGAAACAGTTGCTAAGGGCAATCAATAGTTGGTGCTCTTACACAGGATACAGATGTTTTTAAATTCTATTAGGAATCATCACGCTAGCTGGGTCAACAAGCTTTTTGGGTAAAGGGCAATCAGTAAATATTTTAGACTTGCGAATAGGTCATGGGCACGTGGTCTTGGTGACACCTATTCAACTACCTTTTTTTTTTTTTTTTTTTTTTTTTGCAAAAGCAGCCATAGACAATACATAAATGAATGGATGTGGCTGTATGCCAATAAAACTTTATTTATTTTTAAGACCAGGCCGTGGGTGGATTTGACCAAGGGCTGTGTGGTTTGCCAGCCACTGACCTACAGAAGCCAAAGTCCCGATCACCATCTACGTCTAAAATAAACTGGCCGTTTTTCCTCCAACACACAAAAAAAAATTATTTAATGATAATGGCTCCCCCCAAAGATCATGCGGTTCGCCCTAGCTGGTGTGGCTCAGTGGATAGAGCATCAGCCTGTGGACTGAAGGGTCCCAGGTTCGATGCTGGCCAAGGGCACATGCCTGGGTTGCAGGTTCGATCCCCAGTGGTGGTGGTGGGGGGTGTGTGTGTGTGTGTGCAGGAGGCAGCCGGTCAATGATTCTCTCTCATCAGTGATGTTTCTATTTCTCTATCCCTCTCCCTTCCTCTCTAAAATCAATAAAAATCTATTTGAAAAGAAAGATCATGCGGATTTTTCAACATCACATTAGAGTTTAAGCAGTATTTGTTGACTGTGCTCCAGTCACATTGGCCTCTCTGTTCCTGGACCGCGTCCCCCCTCAGGGCCTTTCCACGGCTGAGCAGAGCTTCTCCCCACACCACCTGCCCCTCCTCCACCTGCGGCCTCAGTGGGTTTTCCCGGGCCAGCCAGCTACACTCTCATCACATCACTGGCCTCACCTATTGGGGCGGAAATGCTATCTTTGTCATTTACTTCCTTGTGTATTTGCATGCAGCCTCTTTTCCTGCGTGAGATGGCGAGCTCCTCAGGCTCAGGCACTTCCTGGGTGTCGCTCAGTAGAGTCCCCCTGGAACCCTGGGGACACATGGTGAGTTGTTCTGTTTGCGGGGAAACCCTCACTGGCTCTCACAGAATTCTCCCGAAGCCCTGCCGACCAAGTACACCTGTACCTGCTGAGGCCCGCTTCCTACAACTGCTTACTGAGCGCACGGAGGGGAGGCGGGGCACGTGAGAGCACACTCGGGGCCCTGCGCTGGAGGGCCTTACATTCCAGCAGGGAAGCGGTGGGGGCAACAAACAACAAATACAATAAATGAAGTTACATACCGTGTTTCCTCGAAAATAAGACATCCCCTGAAAATAAGACCTAGCGCAACTTTGGGAGAAAAAATTAATATACGACACTGTCTTATTTTCGGGGAAACAGGGTGGAATGCTAGGAAGTTTGGGTGCTATGGAACAAAGACCCGGGGGAGATGGGGTGCTGGCCACGTGGCTCCTGGGGGAAGACATACGGGGACCTCCCCATGGGAAGGCCAGTGCAGTCCCCTGGGTGAAGGCAGCTGGTGTGCACGGGAAACAGCAAGGAGCCAGAGTGGTTAGGGCAGAGGTCAGCAGGAAGAGAGAGGAAGGAGATGATGTCAGAGGGGTACGGGGTACAGGGACGATCACCCGGCGCTCGGCGGGACGCCCTCCCTGCGGATTCTGGTTCCCTGGAGTGAAACGGGGAGGTGCGGGTGATTGCACAGAGGAACGCCACGATCTGCTCTTTGTGGAAAACGGACAGCCGGGAGGGGAGAGGGGGGCCTGGGGGATCCCTAAGCCTATCCTGGAACTTGGGGAGAGTGAGAGGGAGGGAGCGGGTACATCCTGGGAAGGGGGGACTAAGAAAGCACTCCCCTCTGACACAGAACAAGGCGGAACCAGGTGAGGACCAACCTAAGGACATCCCTGAGGGCTGCCATCCATCCCTGATGGCACCCGGTAACAACCCTCCACAGTGGAAGGAGAGAGGGCCGCAGGCAACAGCAGAGGAGCTAAGAGGAAAAGGAGGAAGACATCACAGAGGCCTCACTTCGGCTAGAACTGCAGGTACCATTTGCAAGTGAAAGAAAACATTTATGACCAGCAGGGCAACATCCACATGACCAAACTGGAGCAGCTCACTGAGGCTCTAAAGGCCTCCAAGTACGAGTGCCAGCAGTCCTGCGAGAAGCCGGCCTTCCAGTGACACGTGACTTGCCCCTTGAGAAGATGATCTTTGCATTAAAAAGAACTATTTCCAAACCAAGTCATCTAGACCTTTGACCATCAGCACAAACCAACTCAACCGAACCAGGAGTCACTCAAGATTTTGCATGCCACCTCACGTTCAAGCTTGGTTCTACCAAAACTTTTCTGCATTTTATAGAAAAGCATACGCTTCTTGGGTAATTTCATCATTAAAGATGCAAGAGGTCCAAATTGCTTTTCCAATGTTACCCTGGGCCCTCCTCCACGCTGCTGGGGAGCACGCACCAGCGTTCTGGAAGATCATCGGGCCCATCTACTCACACTAAACATCAGCGCCTCCAACCCCACTTCCACTCCTGGGTCTGTGCTTCACCCCAGGGAGGGAGCGAGCAAGCGGAGGATGGATGGACTGCGGCACTCATGCCACCAAAATACTGAAACTACCACATCTAACAACGAGACTGAGTCTCACAAACATAACGGAGACCAATGAAGCCAAATACAAACTCTGCCTACAAGTGAAGATGCTCACGTAAGGTTCAAAAACAGGCGAGACGAGCCCTGGCCAGGTAGCTCAATTGGTTCAGTCAGTGGTCGGCAAACTCATTAGTCACCAGAGCCAAATATCAACAGCACAACAATTGAAATTTCTTTTGAGAGTCAAATTTTTTCAACTTAAACTTCTTCTAACGCCACTTCTTCAACATAGACTTGTATTTTGTGGAAGAGCCACACCCAAGGGGCCAAAGAGCCGTATGTGGCTCACAAGCCGAGGTTTGCCGACCCCTGGTATGGGTCATCATATGGGTCATCATCCCGATACACCAACATTTTGGGTTTGGTCCCCAATTTCAGGACACGCACAAGAATCAACCAATGAACACATAAAATAAGTAGGACAACAAATGGATGTTCCTCTTCCCCCTCCCCAAAATCAATAAATAAAAATTATAAAATATAGGCAGGACAAAATCTGCTGCTGTCAGACGTCTGGAGAGTGGCCACCCACGGGGGCAGGGTGCCGAACAGAAAGGGGTCGGTTCTGTCTCCTCAGGGGGGTGAGAGTGGCTGGTGATTTCTGCCCTTCTCCCTCTATGGAAGTTCTACTTCCATAAAGAGTTTTCTGAAAAAATCAGCTGCTTCAAAATTCAGAGAAGAAAATATTTTTAAAGGGCCCTGGCAGATGTTGCTCAGTGGTTAGAACATCAGCCTGTGCACCAAAGGCTCTTGGCGTTCGGTTCCCAGTCAAGGGCATGTACCTGGGTTACGGGTCGGGAGTGTGAGGGAGGCAACCAATCAATGTGTGTCTCTCACATCAATGTTTCTCTCTCTCTCCCACTGCCTTTCTCCCTTCCCCTCCCTCTCTTCCATCCTCTTAAAAATCAATGGAGAAAGAGTCCTCAGGAGAGGATTAACAAAAAATAAATGAATAAATAAATAAAGCCTAAAAGCAATAATTTCGTTTTTGCCTTCTGTTTTAGGAAACTTGCTTTTTTATATTAAAAACAACTTTCTATTGAACTGTTGGGGAAGAGAATGATTTAAAGGCATATACATGCATACTATAAAATAAAAACATTAACTACCCTCAGATCCACTGTGCAGTTAAGGAACGAACAACCTTTGTCCATATCAGCTTACCTGAGTTGCTTGGCATAGCTGAGTTCAATCTCTGTTCTTTCCTTCACAAATTTGATGTATTTCTCAAGAATATCAATTCCCCACTGTGTGTGTTTTTCTAAGTTGTCAAATTGATCCTGTTTAAGAAAACAAAAGCAGAGAGACAGTTTATAATCTTTCTCTGTGATTAAGGGAATTTCGATGGACATATCTCTCAACAACACCCCGCTACCCAGAACGCGGTTCTGATATTTTCCATGAATGCACTCCGTGCTCTTGTGTTGAGCAGTTTTAAATCAACATTGCCTAATTTGGTGTGAAACCGCCTTGGGTTCTGATCTCTGCCCCATTTGTTCGTGTTCTCCATCCCTATTAGAAACAAGTGTTTCTGATATAATTGATGTCCTGCTACAAAGGAAAATCTCCCCCGGATCCCGAAGACTGAGGGGAAACACAGCCACGTTAACTCACTCACACTGTTAGCATGTAACTGCTGTCTCTGAGTGACCCCTCAAAACAGCGCATTGCAATTTGGGGCCGGGATATGGGAAGGAAAAGAGCCGCAAAATATTGCTTTGTTCAAACAGATCAAATAACTCGCATAGACTTTATTTGAACATATCAAGCCCGTGTGCCAGGAATGGTGCTAGGAGCTGGGGACCAAAATGAACGGAAACATAGCTCAGCTTGCATTGTGCTTTGAGGTTCTTAGTCTAGAAGATTAGGGGTGCGGGGGGGGGGGGGGGCGTGTGAGCAGGGCACTCAGGAACAGCTCATGCAAAGGCAGGGGGATGTCCAGGAAGCGGGTGCAGCGCCCCCTGCAGCACAGGTGGGGGAGGTGCAGGGAAAGGAGTGGTGGCGGTGATAAAACAAAGCCCACGGTCTGGAACGCTAAGCTCAGGCTCTCCGCGGGCACCCGTGAGCCACTGACGGGCATGTAGGGTGGTGGGGGCGGCAGCCACAGGTATGTCCAGAATGGCCCAAGGACTGAAGCCAGAAGATGGCTGCAGGTCCAATGAGGGGAACGGGAGCAGAGAGGAGTTGACGGTAATGTAACCGAGGCCTGGTGACTGGGGAAGAGGCTGGGAAGGGAGGCGCCAGGGTGACTCCCTGCTTCTGCTTCCTGCGATGACACATGGAGGGACCGCAGTTGGGGGTGCAGTGACTTGGAGAATGAGGGCGTGGCACGGCCAGGAAAGAGTTGGAAACGGGTCTATTTGGAGCTCAAGGAGGGAGGTCAGTGAGCTGGTGGGTGTGAGCAGTGGCCAAGGATGAGAAGGCCAAGGCCTGCTGCAACCCAGCTCTGTGTCCATCAGTGAGGGGGCAGGCTCAGGAGGGCGGCCCCGAGGGAGGCCCAGGAGGGAGGGTCCAGGAGGGAGGGTCCAGGAGGGAGGCCCAGGAGGGAGGCCCAGGAGGGAGGGTCCAGGAGGGAGGCCCAGGAGGGAGGGTCCAGGAGGGAGTGCCCAGGAGGGAGGTTCAGGAGGGAGGTCCAGGAGGGAGGGTCCAGGAGGGAGGGCCCAGGAGGGAGGGCCCAGGAGGGAGGCCCAGGAGGGAGGCCCAGGAGGGAGGGTCCCGGAGGGAGTGCCCAGGAGGGAGGTCCAGGAGGGAGTGCCCAGGAGGGAGGCCCAGGAGGGAGGGTCCAGGAGGGAGGGTCCAGGAGGGAGGCCCAGGAGGGAGGGTCCAGGAGGGAGGCCCAGGAGGGAGGCCCAGGAGGGAGGGTCCAGGAGGGAGGTCCAGGAGGGAGGGTCCAGGAGGGAGGCCCAGGAGGGAGGCCCAGGAGGGAGGGTCCAGGAGGGAGGCCCAGGAGGGAGGGTCCAGGAGGGAGGCCCAGGAGGGAGGGTCCAGGAGGGAGGGTCCAGGAGGCCCAGGAGGGAGGATCCAGGAGGGAGGCCCAGGAGGGAGGCCCAGAAGGGAGGGTCCAGGAGGCCCAGGAGGGAGGCCCAGAAGGGAGGGTCCAGGAGGGAGGGCATGGCCAGGGCGATGCCAGCGAAGAGAGGGTTAGCCCATCATTACCAGGAAGGAGGGATTGCAATGGGGCCTGATGAAAGTTTGCTGCCTCCCAGGGGCAACAGCAACAGAGGATGAGGGTCTAGTCCCAGCTCGGGCTTCCCAGAGAAAGGCCCCTGAACAGCGCTTGGTGCCCGTCGTTTGCCTACCAGACCCAGAGCAATCCCTGCCTCACTTCATGGCCTGGAGGAGGATCAGTGCAACGGGCAAGTGTCAAATCTATAACAATAAAAGCAGAATATGCTAATTAGACCAGACTTCCTTCGGGAGGACCTGCGAGGGAAGCCTGGTCCGGGGCGCCAGAGGGAAGCTGGTGCCGGGAGCCGGGGGAGGAAGGCCTACCCTTGCATGAATTCGCGCATCGAGCTTCTAGTCCAATATAAAAATGCGGAGCTACAATTTAACCAGATCACAGGCAAGTGCCATCTGGCAGCGAACATTCTGCATCACCCTCCGCTGGCTTTTAAATCTAGCGCCTTCGATGTTAACCCATCATGGTGCTTCGATTCCGCTTGCCACTCAAAGCACTGCCAGCTATACATCAGTGAGTCCGGCTCCACGGGAGCGGGCAAGGCAGCAGAGTCAGAAACTCGCTTTCCCGAACGTGAGAAGCCCTCTTCTGAAGAAGCGTCATTTCCTCACCCTCAGGCCCACCCAGGCCCCCAGAGCAGATTGAGAAACATCAACGTAGGAACTAAGGTTTTATTTTACTGGCATGGGTTTCTCATGGAAAATAATCACTGTGAGATGTCTTGATACCTAATCATTTTTAATATTCCCACAGAAATAAGGGACACATGTTGAAGTGTCCATAGATTGCTTGCTCCTCACTAATCCCATGAACTCCAGGTTCCGTCTCAGGAAGACCGCTCGGGCGGCTATTTATGTAGCTGCCAGGGCCATCCGGCAGCGCACAGTGTAAACACAAGCCTGCAGGTCTCTCTAAACTACTGGAGAGAACAAATACACAAGCAGGTCAAGTGCGGCCGCCTCCCTCATCTGCCGTTTCCTTCTCCGCGGTTTCAGTGCTTCTCCGTCCACCTCTGTCTGAAAATACGAACATGGAAAATTCCACCTCCCTCCATCGCACCGCGGAGGCATCGTGTCATCTCACACCATCACAAGGAGGGCGAGGACAGGACAATAAGACATTTTGAGAGAGAGAAAGACCACATTCACACCACCTGCATTGCAAGTTCCTGTGAACGGTTATTCTATTTTATTGCTAATCTCCTACTGCGCCTAATTTCTAACTTAAACTTTCTTTCTCAGAAGCATGCATGTATAGGGGAAAACATAGTATAGGCAGGGTTTGGTGCTACCCGCCATCAGGCGTCCACTGGGGACTGGGGTGGCATCCCCTCGGATAAGGGGGCGGGGGGTGGGGGGAGATGACTCTCAGGATTCCAAACCATCCCTGGCTATTTAGAGCACGGCTTCTTTCAAGCTCTCTGCTAATCAGCGAACTCTGTTGATTGAGCTTCATAGCTATCCTCTTTATTTAAAAACGCCTTTCCGCCCTGGCTGGTTTGGCTCAGTGGATAGAGCGTCGGCCTGCGGACTGAAAGGTCCCAGGTTCGATTCCAGTCAAGGGCATGTACCTTGGTTGCAGGCACATCCCTAGTGGGGGGTGTGCAGGAGGCAGCTGGTTGATGTTTCTAACTCTCTATCCCTCTCCGTAAAAAAATCAATTATATATATATATATATATATATATATATATATATATATATTTTTTTTTTTTTTTTTTTTTAAGTATAAAAACGCCTTTCCACACACTCCCATGTGGGAGCCCCCTCTCATATAATTTCTCACCGTCTCCAAAGCGTGGCTATTTTCAGCAGTTAAAGGTGTTTCCTTCAAAACCTGCTGAGACCATCTGCTCTTCCATTTCACTCTTGCCTGGTCAACAGTCTAACTCTATGTTCCCCCTGTTCCATTAGTTTGCGATCTCGTTGGCCCTCATGTATACAACACAGAGCAACAGGATTTGATACTGAATCCTTTTTTTAAAAAAAATCTGCATTTGAGTTGCGTTCACCTTAAAAATGACTGGCCTCAAACCAACCATGTGTTTTTGATCCAGTGATCTGCACCTCAGACCACGCTGCAAGCGGTAAGGAAGCACCTGCTCCGAGGGCAGGGCCCGCACAGTAAGAACCTCCCGCAGCACCGGCTCACAGCGCTGGCTCACCGCCGCCCCCTCGGCGCTGCCTCATCCCCGCTGCTGTCACGTGGCGCCACAGCGTAACTCTTTAGACAGAAGCTTAGAGGAAATTCAAAACAGATGAAAAACTCATCAACCCACTTACATTCTTGACTAAAATGTGGAAAACTTAATGGGGAAAAAATTTCCAGATCTTAAAAAATAACACACACACACACACACACACGCACACACCAAAAAAACACACACACACACACACAATCACACATACACAAAAAACACACCAAAAACCAGCCTTTGCTACCTTGGGATGGTGCCATTACCCAAAACGCACCCCTGCCTGATGTGTCATGTGACAGAAATTCCAAAGACCCATCTGCTCCCTTAAAAATCATTAAGGACCCCAGTAAGCTTTGTCTTTCTGGGTTGCAACTATCAGTGTTTACTCTATCAGAAATTAAAGACCCCCATGACCTTTCAAAATATGTATTGCTGCCGAAACCGGTTTGGCTCAGTGGATGGAGCATTGGCCTGCAGACTGAAAGGTCCCAGGTTCAATTCCGGTCAAAGGCATGCACCTTGGTTGCGGGCACATCCCCAGTAGGGGGTGTGCAGGAGGCAGCTGATCGATGTTTCTAACTCTATCCCTCTCCCTTCCTCTATGTAAAAAAATCAATAAAATATATTTTAAAAAGTAAATAAAATAAAAATATGTGTTAATTCGTCTTAAAAAGCAGTAAGTACAGTACATGTTAATGCAAATAACATGTATTTTATTTTTAAGAACTTTCCAAAAAAGGAAAACACTGAGAATGGCACTGTTTATATTCTTGCAAATCTCTTAACTGCAGATCCTGGACGTTCACGGCCACTCCTCTATTCAGTCCACGGTGATTCCTGCCTTTGGCTGCAAAACACCCGCCTTCCCGCAGATGTGCGGTTAGGAAACGGAGAGTTTCAATA